AACGCGACAAACATGACTGAGAAGACAATAAAACCTGAGAAGCGTATCAAATAGTACGTACTTTTTTCTATGTATTATTTATTTTTTTTTTGGCTGTTTTTAAGTTACGGGCCGTTACCGTTTTTATGAATCGATTGATAATGTTTGAAATGTATTGTCTTGAATAGTTAGCCAAATCGATCCTGGAATAAAAAATCAGTTCATGAAAACTAAAAAATCAACTTCATGAAATGTTCATTGACATTTGTTCATCATAACCCAAATCAGTTCACAAATAATATCTATATATATCTAAAAAGGTTGATATAAAAATCATTTTTAGAAACTTAAAATAAATTAAGTTGACTTTTGACTTTCTATTTATGTAATCTCAATCAAATTTTGAAAAAAAAATCGTGAATAGGATTTTGTAATTGGTATTCCCGTTAATTAAGTATCAGATCCCATTAATTAAGCAAATCTGTTACGAAAATACACAAATTCCGTCAATTAAGGCATTATATATTTCCCTTTTTTTAGGGATGGATATACCTTTACGTGATAAGATATATACATGTGATTGCATATTTTGTTGTTGCATCCCAAAAATGATGGAATTTAATATCTATCCAAATACAATCCATAATTATCTTATCACTTTTGTTAATAAAAAATTGTATAAAAGGATATTCACTACCACCATTACAACTCATCATTCACGAGTTCAGAGAAAAAAAAAATACAGACAATAATTTTTAATCGCATATACAATATAATGCTTCCAGGTTGGGGTACACTTGATATATAATGCTTCCAGACTGGGGTACGTTAACAAAAGAAACAAACTTTTTTTTTCCCCTCTGAGAGCAGTCCGCATTATTGAAACCCATCACGAACGGGGGAGCTATAACGCATTTTCATGATGAACAGGTAATATTTACCTTTGTTATTTCAATTTTATATAATTTAGAAAATTATTTTAATTAATATTTATAACAAACATTTTTTGCGTCTGAGAGCAGTCCGCATTATTGAAACCCATCACGAGCAGTCCACATTATTCAAACCCATCACGAACGGGAGAGCTGTAACGCATTTTCATTTTCATGATGAACAGGTAATATTTATTCAATTTTATATAATTTAGAAAATTATTTTAATTAATATTTATAACAATTTTTTTTTGCGTCTGAGAGCAGTCTGCATTATTGAAACTCATCACGAACGGAGCTGTAACGCATTTTCACGATGAACAGGTAATAATATTTACCTTTGTTATTTCAATTTTATATAATTTAAAAAATTATTTTAATTAATATTTATAAATTTGTATCGTAGGGTGCTTTCATTAAATGCATAATACGTTATCCGAATATGAGAGCAACAAATTTTATATAAACTGAGAGCAGTCTAATTTTTGTAAAATATGTAAACTTTAAACGTGTTTTTATATATAAAATTGTAAATACTTTTAAACATGTTAGTTGGGCAAATTTTAAGGATATATATATGTGTGTATGCTAACTTTAAGTATATATATTTTTCTTATAAAATAGTCTAGACAAAATTGAGGTAATTTCACCTTTTCCAATAATAATATAAAATATTTTAATACTTTCACATATGTTATATAATAGTCTACGTATTCTTAATGTCTTTTGATTGTAACATTGTTAACACATATAATATTAGATACTTTTAAACATATTTAGGTAATTTTTTTACTCATTCTTTAATATCTATGTGCATAAAAAGAGAATAAGATTAAAAGATTTTCCGGCAATATACTAAATGTTAGATAAAAAATCTCATTTTATTTGTTATATAATATTTCGAGTTGCATTAATTTTGATTTGTATGTGTAAAATTGATAAATTAAGCGTATGAAAAGGAGTGTACGAATTACTGTAAGGATTTAAAAAATAAAAAATAAATCTAATTTTTGAATATTTTCTACTAAATTCTAAACGAATTTATGTCATAATTCGTCATAATTTTCCCACATCATGTCAATATTTATTTTATATATACTAGGTAAAAGGTAAATCATTATCTCAATATTTATTATATATATTTTAAGTAAATCTTTTCATCTATCTCAACGGTCAGCATGTAGTATTTTATATTTTTCTATTCATAATCAAATATGTCAACGCTTCACAAATTTTACTTCACAAAGAAAGTGTTCAATAATTTATATTTTTTTTTCCTTCTTTGCAACCATTTATTTTTGTTACATATATATAAATTATATTATTTTTAATATTTCACACGTTAAACATTTCAGGAAATTATACCATCCCGTGCATCGCACGGGTTACGCGCTAGTAGTTCTTATAAAGAGTACAACAAAATCAATTCTTTACATTTAAATTTCAGATCATTAAATGAAAAAATGGCAAAATTTGTTGTTAGAAGTGAAATAATGAAAATTTTAAATGGTTAATTCGCTACGGAAAATGCTACCAAAATAAAGAAAACCTATTGGACGAACCATGTTTTCTCGGGATGAGACATTTCGGTTTGGTTCGGTCCTGAAAAAATAAAAATCGATTTTTTAGCCAACCCTAATCTTATTCATTCAAATCTCCTTACTATATTTTTCATATAACATGCTCAAGCTCCTGCAAGAAAAGAGTAGAAAGTTATAGATAACAAGAAACAAATTTCCTCACATATATACATACATTATNAACCAATTGAGAATAATGGAAGAATATGAGGGCAACAAAAGCATTCTAAGAGGTTGTATCAAGACAAGCAAAGGGCCGTGGCTCGTTCGTCGGGTCACAAAAGATGGTGGGCTTGTGACCAAATTCCGCTACCCGTCCGATAGGGAGAGAATGAACAATAAACAAAGAGAGAGGAGGAGACGGGCCGTGGCCCACAAAATCTTTTCCGGGCTTCGGGCCCACGGAAACTACAACCTTCCCAAGCATGCCGACTCTAACGACCTCCTCAAAGCGCTTTGCAACGAAGCCGGGTGGCATGTTGAGGAAGATGGGAGAATATTCAGGAAGGTGTGTGATTATTTAATTTATTTATTTATTTTGGCATTTATAAAGTTTTGTTTTTTCTTTATTGTTATAATTAAATTTGGGAAATGATAATTTTATTTTTGGGTTTATATTTGTAGCAACCGGCTTCGATAATGCCGAGCTTGATGGATGTCGATTTTCGTCAAGCTTCTCTTATTGGCTTCCGATCTGAAGAGGACAAATTTTGTGAATGTGATATTAATGTAAAAAGCTCGATTTTTGAACCCGATACCACTCTTACTCTCTAGCTCATTTTTAGCTTGATCTTCTCGCAAAAGAAAAACATGCTCGAAAAAAAGAAAGCAACACGCGAAAAAGACTATGTTGTGCTCGGTGGTTTATTGTATCTGTAATGGCGGTGTTATAACCTTTATTTTATATTTAATTTTAGTTAAATATGATCGAGAAAAATGCCTTTTGTGATAGATATTTATGCGATTCATGTGATATTTTAGAATTTTCATAAGTTCATTCATTATTTAATATTTATAGCCCTCAATCTGCTTGACAAAGACAATGCATGTTTGCCATTAGTCAGATATATATCTTTAGATCTCCTAACCCGGTTTGTATTCAAATCTCCATTCGATGTACAAGCAAGAAACTAATGGCCATTACAAAACACATAAAACCCAAAATTTCTTCCAAAAAAAAATAAAAAATAAAACAAAAAATTCTAGTCTAATATCAAGATTTCATAATATAATCATAAAGTATTTCATTCCAAACATCGGGAACTCCCGGGAGACACCAATGCACGCAATCCGCGTATTTTCTCGGGTTTTTCAGTTGTTCGTTAGACGCGACTCCCCAAAATGTCCTGTGGGTCGACGGGTGAGCGTCTCCCCTGTAAGACGAAAGCTCAGTTATGTTGAGATATTGTACTCTCACTCCTCTGTTTTCCAGCTCCTTTAGTGTCGACTCGATTATTCGGTCCATCTCGGGACTCATTAGGCTTCGCCAATACGCCTCGTCAAAAATTGGCTCCTTTAGGTCGAAACACGTGTGGTGAGCGCCCCACATTGTACTCCTACAAGCAAACATCCCAAAAAAAATGTTACTAGCCTTAATAGTATCCCCTGCATCTAATAATAAAATCACAAGCGACAAAATTATTTCGCAATCGATACGTAATAAGTAGTAATAACTAGGGCTGCAAACGAGCTGAGTCAAAACCTTGATTGATTTTTTTTTTTACCTGTTCAAGATCGATCTCAATTTGTGACGCTCGAGATCAACTCGACAAAAGAAGACAATTGCTCGAGATTGATTGAAATCAAAATGCTCGAAAGATTGTTCGAGGTCAGCTCGAGTTCGACTCGAATTTCAATTAAAATTACCATTAAGTACATATATAAAATATTGTAATATTTCCATATAAGGAGTATTTTATTAATTCACTAGCGGCTCAACTTTTCAGAACTATGCTCGAGATCGACTCGATAACATGCTCGAGCCGAACTTTGACTCGAGCGCTCCCGAGTGGGTAGCAAGCCGCTCGGTTTGTTTGCAGCCCTAGTAATAACATTACGTACCCCTCACGGTAAGCCGTGGGGCCCACAAAGAAAAGCTTTGTCTTGTCTCGATCGACGTGCATTTCGACCCAATTCGACCACGTGCGAAGCGCGATTTCGTAAGGGAGAAGCTTTTTGTTCACGGTTTTCTCGATTGCTTCGGGGCTCCCAAATGATCCCCACCTGAAAAATTAAAAATTGCTTAGTTTAAAACTTTCGTTTTCTATATTTTTTTAGCACATTTTGGAGAAAGATATCTAAAAACACACAAATAAGAACACAAAATGAGTAAAAAAATTGGATAATTGAAAAAAGTAACTCACAAGAGGGTTATATCGCGCGGGCCCATCCACCACATGAACGAGTCGAACACCAATATATCCGCATCGTACCAATTCCTCCCGTGACCTTCGATCGACTTAATACGGACCACACGAGGCCACACGCGGTGCTTTTCTATGTCGTCGCAATTGGACTCCACCAGAAGTGGGGCCCAATAGAACTCGATCGATGCATTGTATTCCTTTCCAACCAAATTTATGACCAAAATATTATTACGCGCAAAATAATATTCCGATTGAAACCATAATGCATGGAAAATTTGATGAAAAAATGACTT